GAATCTCAATACTGAATTCAATACTTTACTACGATTAAAACTATGATACATTGTGGATGCATTTTGTATTCATTGAAGATCAGTGAAATAACAAACTAAAGCCAACAAACAAATTAATTAATGATCCCATATAAGAATTATTTACAAACATTTTTTGTTTGATACAAACTGTTTTCGTTTGGCAAATTTTGTTTGCCATATGATGTCAAGTTGCGGTGATGCCAATGGTTAGGGGGAGCGAGCTGGTCTACGTTGTGGTTAGGTTAGAGCGCGGGACTCCGGTTCCTGGGGTCCCGGGTTCAATTAAAAATTCTACATTAAAGTGAGCGTCATTCAAATGAACGAAAATAGGTCGATAACTCAAAATGGTGCAACTAATTTGTACTTGTCATTCTTGTGAATTTTTAGCCAATATTCAGTTGTTACGTGTGTTTCATGTTCGTAACGTAGTTTCAGTGCTCTTGTACTGACTTTAATATTACTATCCCACTTATTTAAAAAATTATCAATAGACATGATTTAGCCCCTGAGTTAAATTTATGACTATAATATAATAATACAATTACCTCGTCACAGCTCTGAAGGTTTCGTATAATACAACCATTTAGGCATCAAATTGTCATACACAGATATACAGGGTGACTGAAAAGTAACTTGCGCCCCCCTAGCTTTTCAACAATTTGAGATATTTTAAATCGGTTTTGCGGCAACCTTCTTAGATATGAGGGGCTGCAATAATTATGGTCAATTTTGAAAATTTTGCCTTTAGGAGTAGTGGGGGCAGGGGGAGGCTCAAAATTTTCAAATGACAAGTATAGTCAAGTTTGGTATCATTTTACAGATCTTGACGAAACATAAACATTAACATAAAGAAAACCAAAATCGGCTCACTAATAACAAAATGGCACCCTAAAACGTTTCAAATCCAAATAACTATGAGGGTGGCAAAAGACATAACTTGCACCCTCTTTAGCATTTTAACCATTTGAGATATTTGATATCGGTTTGCGGCATCTTGTTTGGAAATAAAGGGCTACAATAATTATGCTCAGTTTTGAAAATTTTGCCCTTAGGGGTATCGGGGGTAGGGGGTAGTTCAAAATGTTCAAATATAGCAAGTATAGTCGAGTTTGGTATAATTTTACAGGTCTTGATGAAACATAACAAATAGCATAAAGAAAATAGAAATCGGACCATTAAAAACAAAATGGCAACTAAAAATGATTGAGGGAATGGTTATTTAAAGTAATTTTGAACTGCCATTTTGTTATTAATGGTCCGATTTCTATTTTCTTTACTTTATGTTAAATGTTATGTTTCGTCAAGATGATACAAAATGATACCAAACTCGACTATACTTGCTATTTGAAGGTTTTGAGCTACCCCCTACCCCGCTACCCCTAAGAGCAAAATTTTCAAAACTGACCATAATTATTGTAGCTATTTGTATCCAAACAAGTTGCCGCAAACTAATTTCAAATATCTCAAATAGTTAAAAAGTTAAAGAGGGTGCAAGATAATTTTTTTACGACCCTCAAGGTTATTTGGATTTTAGGGCGCCATTTTGTTATTAGTGCGCCGATTTTGGTTTTCTTTATGTCAATGTTTATCTTTCGTCAAAACCTGTAAAATGATACCAAACTCGACTATAGTTGTAATTTGAAAATTTTGAGCTACCCCCTACCCCCGCTACCCCTAAGGGCAAAATTTTCAAAATTGACCATAAATATTGTAGCCCCTTATATCTAAGAAGGTTGCCGCAAACCGATTTTAAATATCTCAAACGGTTGACAAGTTAAGGGGGGGGGGTGCAAGTTACTTTTCAGCCACCCTGTATGTATATCCACCAGAATTGGCGTCGTCAAACTTTACACACACACGAATCATGATAAAACACATTTAACACATATAAAAAATAGACATGCCTGTCGCGCATATGATGTTCGTTGTGCGCGAGAGGCCTGTCTCTTCCTATTTTTGGCGGGATAAACTTAATGAGTGAACTTAACTAGCATGATCGGACCATATGGGAACGGGGTTTTACGGGGGGTTTATTTAAATGGGGTAAAAATTGGGCTTTCCCATTTTTGACCCTCAAAACACAAATTTTCCCAATTTATCTTTAGACCTTTTTAAAGAGCTTCAAAAAACAAAATAATATAGTATATCAAAGTGTTTTTGTGCGGTTATTGGTAACGGAGAAGATTCAAAAAATTGTAAATTTAAAATTCTCATGTTATTTTTATGGAGAATATTGAAAATTAATGTAGTTCGCTTGTTTGGATATATTTTGATCAAACTTGGCAATTTATTTTATTTTATACTAAGCTATTAATATTTTACTAAAACACACTTTATCAGTTTCAGTTTCCTTGTAGCAGCAAACCTAGGTACTCGTTAAACCTAATGTTATTTAAAAGATTTAATTGAATATCATACAGGAGTATTGGAAATTACTTTTTCCTACAGTCACCTTACAATGTACATGTTCTCTCACTGATTTGAGAAGCAAAGTGGCCAATTCACTCATCATTGAGACAATGTTAACATTGTCGTTAACATTGTCTCATTCTAATTACTTTGTCTCACTCCAGATTTGCAACGTGAAGGGACAAAATAGTGAGCGCGTAACATGCAGACAAGGTCGTATGCGCGCGAAATACGTTGGCAGCACTGGCTGTAAATCAGCTGGTCAGCTGTTGTACTGTTGTATTTGTCACTTCAAATTAATGTCATAGTAAAAGATCACTTCTGTGTAAAAATACATGTTACGTTTCTTTGCCAATTTATTTGTTTTATGGTAACTGTAAGAAAAATATAATGTGCAACACTGTTAAACCATCATATAGCCTCCTGTGTTGGAGGATTCTATGATCAAACACCCTCTGGACTCAAATCTGACAGAAGCCTTAGATTAACAAGCATACAACTGTTTTAAGAAAACGTTAAATGTACAGGATATAATTTAATACCTGAGTGAAAATTTAAAAACGTACGTTTTCATGTCCCTGGCCTTTTACTTCGTAGATACTGGATTTGTAGTTTATTATTATGTGTTTTAATATTTTTTGGGACGGGGGCAACACGTTACACACATTTATTTGGTTTTAAATAGGTTCTAGGTATTTTTTTCGTTTTTTTAAAGTCTCGAAATTCACGACCATGCCGTGTCCCTATGGTACATTTTCCAACTTTCACACTGTTTTTAGACTAATTATTCATGCCGAAATATATAAAGCCATATTTTTATGTCATCAATGGTTATTAAACTTACAAAAAAGGAGCATATTATAATTTTATTGTCATTGCAGACTGACTACCATGACAAAATAAGTCTGTCCCTCGATTTGGCGTCACGACCATTTGGGAAAAATTTTCAACTTTGGAGCACGACAGTGGCAAGCCTGGCGTCGATGGAGTCAGTTGGTTTTAGAAACTAGTTCGGGGTGTACGTCAGGATTGTAGTGCCGGTCGTTTTGAGTTGAAAGGAGGAATTACAAGATTAATAAAGGAAAGATTGTGTTTTTTGTAATTTTGGTGTGTCCATGACCGTACGTAGTCATTCGATGAAGTAGACATGGTGTTAATTTTTGTTTATAAGATATTTCAATTGCTAGATTAACCTAGAAGTCCACTAGTGAGTCGGTGGCTCAGTCGGTAGCGTCGCGGACTTCGGGCCCACGGCAGCGATGTCGTGGGTTCGGATCCTGGTCACTGCCGATAACATTTTATCAGTACAGTTCACCTTTGTACTGTACCGGCTCACTCCTTGCTTTGCTGTAAACGATCCACGCACGGGCGCTTAGTCTATGTGGACGGGCAAATGCAAGGTTAAAAGAGGCCGCCAACCTCTTTTTTTTAAGAAAAAAAAAAAAAACACTTTGTATCCTCGTACATGAGGTGCAGGGCTACCGCCAGAACAGAGCCAAATAACACGTAATTTCACGACCAAAGTTTCACGACCATCGCGGTTTTTTTCACGACCAATCCAGCCTTATGGATTATAGTGTGTTTGGTCGTTACAATAACTTTAATATAATTGTAAATTGAACAGTTTAGTTCAATTGAAACACATAGTTTTATTATAACTAACAGTATAATTGAAGGATTGTTTAGAAAGATTTAGAATATTCCAGACAATTCACGACCGTACCGCTTGTCCCTGACCATCATGTTTATGATTTCTATCATACAAATTTCAAAAATTAAAATATCGTCATATTTCAATGTTTTATACACAAAAGAAGCACACCTCTATACAAACATAACGGGTTTTCGGGTCTCAGGTAAGTTTTTTCGGAGTTATACAAACTTAAAAAGATTTTATTGGCTTTTTTCTATTTTTTGAGTTTTTTTTTGTTTTTTTCTAGAAAGACCAAATATACCAAAAGCTCAGGGACCTTTTTATTGTATAATGGTCATAAAAGTAAATTAGTTTATAGCAGAACATGGTTATAAAAATAATATTTACTATTTTTAATATTCATTTAAACGTCCGTTATGGTCGTGACAGGATTTTGTGTTTTTCTACTAAAGATGCTCTTAAAAAAGAAAACTACCAAAGATATTGCGTTACCATGGACATTTTATGAAACTTCAAATGTTAATGAAATAAAAAAAATAATAAAAGTTTTGAAAAAAGGGGAAAAATATTTGCAAAGTGCTTTTCCTGAAAACCTACGTTTTTAAATTTTCACTCACCTACGTATACCCTAAAAGAAATTGTACCTTTAGGACAAGACAAAAAACCCCCATCGCATAGATAGGCGTGGGCATAGAGGATGCTATCGATGTTCATGGGTCATCCTCCTGTATGTTATGCGTGGGGTCCAATATGCCTGTGGTAAAATATCTGTCTGTGTTTTTGCAAATGTATACATAACTTTAACATATGTTATGTGGTAGTGGTCTAGTGACTGGGACTGCTGGCTGGGTTGGCTGACATGCGACACTTACTTATCACTGCCCAATGGCATGGCAGGGCACGTGAATTGATGATAGTGACATTGACTGATTAAACTCATCACTGAACTGAGTACTGAGACCAACACCAACACCAACTGATGCTGGATGACCTTACACAGGTATGAATCAATGGATAAGACCGGTAGACTTATGTATCAATCTAAAATATATAGAAATCCATCCTGATATTCAAACGCCAGTTTTGCCTTAAGCTTAATTAATCTATTAAGTGAATCGCAAACGAAATTGTCTGGAAAGCTGAGTAGTGGTTGCAGTCAGTGATTCCCTTCAAATTTGAAGTTGGCTTGTTCAACTTTACTTTCGAGTGAGGTAGGTCTGGACTGGACTGGACCCAGAATTTTATTTTTATTGTTGGGGTTTTTGTTATAATTTTCAAAAATGTTTTTGTTATAATATCAAGTAATATTTGATATCTTGTTTTCATTAAGACTTAATTTATTGTGTAACGAATATATTTGAATTTGATGTTATTTTGGATATTAATAATATGTATACAGTGTGTAAATTAAGTATTGAAACAAATCTTTATTTTTAAAACCGAAATAGATAGAAATATTTTGTTTGTAGCAATAATTGTCAACAAAGGCTCCGAAATTTTTTACAACAAAAATATTTTTAACCCCCCTAACAGGGTAGTGGGTAGGGGGTGAATTATTTTTTCACAACCCCTATTGAGTGACCTCTCATTTTGAAGGATTTGTCAAAAGAAACACAATGAAGCAATTCCGAGGTGGATATCTCACCCCTAGCCAAAATGATAGGCATTCCAAAATTTGATTTACTATATGTGAAAAAGCACAATTAATGTAAAGAAATCTGTATTTTTAAAACCGAAATAGATAGAAATATTCTGTTTGTGGAATTGATTGTTAACATAGGTTCCACAATTTTTTACATCATTAATATTTTTTCAACCCCTTCAACAGGGTAGGGGGTGGGTTGACAAAAAATAAGTCACCCCCTCCCCTGTTAGGGGGTTAAAAAATATTTTAGATGTATAAGATTGCGGAACCTTTGCTAACAATTATTGCCACAAACTGAATATTTCTGTCTATTTCGGTTTTAAAAATACAGATTTGTTTCAATACTTAATTTACACACTGTATAGTCTGTAGGTTAATATTGGAGATATCCGTTGGTAGCCTATGTAAAATAATAAAAAATAAATAAAAAAACTGCCATCGGGGAACTAAATAACTAACTGATCCTTGGTCACAATGTTTGTTAGATAAAGTCCAGTCAATGAAGAAAGGTAAACAGTGTTTCAAACTGTGTATTTATTTCATACCGCACATTTTTGTATGAACAAATAGGATTTAGTTACCCTCTATTTCAAAATCTACCCTGTGACAGGGATTTATTTTTCCCTAGGGTTTGATACCATTGCTTTTGGGGGATGGAACGTTTTTTCATTATAATTGTGTGTCTGAACATTGGTTGTTAGAGGCAGAAACTGCATACTACTCTAGAATCAATAAGTGTAGAAATTGATTAACTGACTGATTGTAATTTTTTGGTTCTACCTACAAAGCTTTTTCTAAAAGTAAATATTTATATAGTTTTTTTTTTGCAAATTAAATTGTTGGCAATCAGGAAAAATCTTTGATTGCCAGGTTTTTGTGAATAATGTAACTGAAAAATATGAATTCAATTGAACATATGTAAAACATAATTATAAAAATCACATTTTCTTTATTTTCTTATAAATAACTCAAAATGACGCCAAAGTTTTCAGAAAAGGAAAATCTAAAACGTGTTGTATTCAACAATATTTTGCGTTTATTTTTTTAGTTATTTTATTATTGAGTAACTCAATAACAAAATAACTCAAAAAACCATTAATATAAAACATACAGCACGTTTTAGCTTTTTATTTTTTGAAAACTTTAGCGTTATTTTGAGTTATTTATAAGAACATTAAGAAAAGGTGATTTTCTTTGTTTTCAATGTTTTCACATTCAAAACAGCTATTTAATTTTTTTTATGTATTATTAGTGATGCATAAACTTATAAATATAGTTTAATTGAAGATATTTATATTATTTTAAAATAAAGTGTAACATTTTAAAACCTAACAACTATTAACGTACAATGTTAACTTAATCGTAACAAGTGGGAATATAGAAGAAACTATATAATTGGTTTCTAATTTAAATATCATATTCGGAGCGAGGAGCGGATACTACAATCACGTCCTAAAGCTGGGTTATCCTAGGAGCGAAAGCGGAGAGCGGAGAGCGGAGAGCGGAGAGCGGAGAGAGGAACGCGGAGAGAGGAACGCGGAGAGCGGAAAAGAGATTAACATGGTGTTCCGCTCCGCTTTTAAGAAAACAGTAACATTCAATAACCTGAGACAAGTGGAGTCCACTCTCCGCGTTCCTCACTCCGCTCTCCACCCCTACTCCTCTCCGCGCCTAGGAAAAACCGGATGAATGTGGTTTCGTTCGCCAGGCACCGCTTCAGAGCTACACCATTGAATGTATTGCTACCATTCTATGGGCAAAGGTAATTCCCGCGCCATGGCAATGATCAACGCCAAATGGCGACTGCAGTGACTGCACTCGCATACGGTGTAAGCTATTTCCCTACGTAGCATTTGGGTATACTAGATGAAGTATCAATTAGCTAAGGTTTAAGTTAGTTCATTATTGGTGCTTTAGTTTTAGAAAATTCCGTAGAAGTATTTTTACTACTCATAGAGAAATAATTTAATTTTGTTTAGTGTTTTTTATTTTATTTTAGGACCATGATGCCACAGAATAATGTTGTTATAAGGGAAGGAATAAAATCTGATTGCAAAGAAATCAGGAGATTAATACAGGTAAACTTAAAACATAATTAATGTAAGATTTAAAAAAAAAGTTTAGAGCTATTACTTTGAACTTAAACCGATTTGTAAGGTTGTAGGGATGGATTCTTTTATTAGTAAAATTTACTTTATTTGTGCACAAAAATGTCTAACAATGTAAATTTTTTTACCTAATAAAAATAGTAATGTTTCCCATAAAATTAGGTAAAATTACGTCTATAATATAATATAAGTATATTATACTTGATTCTACTTAAGGGATTTGCTTGTATCAAGGTTGTTCAAGCCGTGAAATTTGGATGATTTTCTAATTTTATTTTATATCGATCACGTTAAGCGAATTTCCCATAGGATTAGGGGATAAACTGATATCATAAGTCTCATGCTAAAACCTACCCAGGACAGATTTACTTTTTCGTTTCACGCCCCCAGAGATAAAATAATACTCTCCTTTTACATTTTAATTTATGTTTGTGTGTCTGGTAGCAGGATAACTTAGGTAAAAATAGTATAATTTTGTTCAACTAAAATTGGCTAATTAAGTAATTGGGGCGGGGGATGTGTTTTATTGGAAGAGAGCCGAGTAAAATAATCATCATCTTTAATTGGTACTATTTTTCCCAATGTCGAGAAATCTGCTGGTGTAGCCTTTGCCCAATAGTTACAACTGAACGTTTTTTTTCATTTGTACTGTATTTTGTAATTTTCTAGTAGCCTATACTGTAGATGGCTTGGTATAAACACATGTTGCAAGTCTTTTGTTTAAAATTTGTCCTTGTTTGTTCAACCTGTTTTTCCTTTGGGTTTTTACTTTTACTTACATAGAAGAGTCTTCCCCAGTCCAAATCCAAATGTAACATCTTAACACAACCATTGTTTCCTTTTCAGATTTCAAATAAGCTTAATCTAATCGAAAACTTTAGTTGGATTGATATTTAAAATTAAATCTGTTTTTAGGAACTGGCAGATTTTGAAGAAATGCCAAATGGACCGAAGATTGGATATGAAAGTAAGTGATTAGTTAGCTATGTTATCCTTAATATAATACGTGAAGGCGATTTCTACGAAACACTACTCCTCCGTTAATAATGGACGGATTTTTACAAACGATGTGTCAAAATTAAGTATTTTTTGTGTAGACACCCCCTTTTACAGATTCCTTTAATCACAGACTCCTTTCACAGACTCCTCGGGCTTTGCCCCACAGACCATCAAAATCCCACTGTATTTCTTATGAAGAAGAGATTTTGTTTACTTAAACAGACGAATAATATTAATTACAGCTGTTCATAGTAAACACTAACACATGATGGACACAAGAGAGTTCGTTTTCAGTTTCGATACCTGGTGTGGAGTGATTGATTACATTATCTTTGAGTTTACTCTTTTAAGCAACAGGTGCACTATAGTACCTATTTACAAATGCCATATATTTCAAAGTAAAATTGTGTAACCGTTGAGAAAAATTAATAAATTACTCATTTACAAAATCTTATAAATCTATCATTATAGCCCAATATTGTACGAGAGCATTACTTATTTCAACATTTTAACATTTTATGAAAACATATTGTTAGTTTGTATTAAAAACAGTTTCATTTCAAAAATGATGTTTTCAGCTCTGGAAAAAGATGGCTTTGAAACCAACCCACCCATTTTTTTCTGCTATGTTGCTGAACACCATTCTGAAGAAGAAGGTAGGCTATTTCTGGTAACAAACTTTGTAGCCTAACGTGTTTCAAAAACGTGTTTTTTGTACTTATCATAAAAAATTTTTCCAAAATCAGACCACAAATATTATTTTTATTTTAGTTCGTCACAAAAGAAATTCGCTTATGCCTTTCACTGAGAATCTCAATTATAATTGATGTATTTATTATTATAGTACCTGCAAAAAAGTGTATATTAAGAGCTTTGTTATCAAGCGTATGCTATGCACCATCTTGAGTGTTGAAACTAAACATTTTAAAAGACATGTTTCGAGTTCTTCTCTTCCCACAAATTGTCTGTTTGCAAATTGGCTGCTTGCCGTGGAAATAAATAAATATTGAGTATACCGTGCATTAGCTCATCTGCAACATTTTCATACATTTTCTATACAAGATTGTTTATAACATAAACATTTTATTATATTACAGAGAGCAAACTAGTCGGCTATGCCTTGTATTATTATACCTACTCTACCTGGAATGGTAGGAAAATGTACCTAGAAGATCTTTATGTGGATGAAAAATACAGAAATCAGCATATCGGTTCTCAACTCTTCAAAACTGTTGCCAAGGTAGGGAATTTCAATTATTTATTGCAGATTATTATTTCACATAATTTTTAACATTTTGAAAATTGTAGGAGTGTGCAACTAGTGCGGATTTATGAGACAAGTTGAATAAAAAACCCCGTGCATGACGCGAAGAATTACTACTTTTGCATGTCCAAAAGGAGCTTACTCAGCGTAGTACATGCTGTGGTGGGAGGTGTTTAGTAGAGGTTGGGACAAAAGTCACTATTACAGTATTTCGTACCTACTGTAATGGTCCAAAATCACTAAATCTTTCTGTGTCCAAAACCTCTTTCTCAAATTCACAATATACAAGCTGCTAAACCCGTGCTTTGCAACGGGAAGAAAATTTTACCTAGAGAGCTATTAAAAAGGTGCTGATGTGTATTTTATAATACAGCAACTCAATGATTTAGTTTCAAAATATAAACTGATTTAAAAGTGTAAACCTACTCACTTTCAAACCCCTACTTTTGATGTTAGATCCAATAAAATATGACAACATACCTTAATGTAGCAATAGCATCAATTGATTCATATTGATGCTTCATGAATGACATGTTTGACAATAATTCTTCAATTTTAGTCAAGCCTCTTTTAGCTTACTATATAAATTACAAAATGAAACTTTGAGCAATACTTTACAAAACGTATACAACTTCACTTTAAACCCAAACATAACCCTCGTCGATCTACATTAAGCGTCACAAACATCTTTTTTCGAGTAAATAAACAAACACCAGTTCATTGTACTGACCAGCTGTTTCATTAATTAAATTCAATTAAATCATTTAAACTTTGGAAACATGCCAGGAGTAGCCCTTTAGAAATCAGCCTGTGGGGCAGAGCCCTTAAGAAATTCGTCCATATCAATACTTTTCGGCGAATCTACACACTCTTTGATGTGCCATATGCCTATATTGTTATTTGGTAAATGGCCTTAACTGTTTACATAAAATTTGATTGTATCACTTTAATAATATAATAGATGCCCTGACCAAGCAGATAGAACAATTATAAGTTATAAGTAACATTACTCTAGTTAATTTTACAAATTCATGTAGTCTGTTAGTCTGTTCATTTGTTCGCTTGTAACTGTTACAGAAGGCTGTACAAGAGAACTGTGCCTATCTTGAGTTTTCTGTTTTGGCATGGAACCCTGCTCGTAAGTTCTACGAGGCTTTTGGGGCCGCCAACTTAACAGATGCCGAACAGTGGAATCTTTATCGTCTCACTGGCGAATCCTTGAGAAGAACTGCTCAAATATGAGAAGTTTTTATCCTCAATTAAAATACATATTTATCACACCTTGTTTTTTTGTTATTTTCTTATCCTCTCCTTCTGAACAATTGGCTATAAATTGGATCGTGAGTTTTGTCTCTTAACACTCATCAGTGCCTATGCCCCAAGTGACTCCTTGTACAGTAGACCCCTCAGGTAACAGAAATAGGTTTAAAACTAATCCCCCAGGAACTCCATATTGCACCGTTAATGGGTGAGAGCCTCACTGAGAGGTACTTAAACTTTGAGGTTTCACTACGGTATTGATTCCCACAATTTTTTTCCTATCAGTTAGATAGGATTTAAACTATGCGAATTCAGTGTTCTTTTTTTTACTCCCAGTGAAAGAGCATCTGGTTGAAAATGTTATACTCAAAAGTTCAAATTCACTATCAATAATGCTATGTACTTGTCAGATCTAAAAAAAAAAAAAAAAAAAAAAAAAAAAAACAATCACCAACGTGAAAAAAAATCAACGTAAATTTGAAATAAAATAAACCTTTAGAAGATTACTTTCTTTAAATCTTTAGATTTCAAGCTTTTGAATCAAAGAGCCTATTGTGAGTACTGGCACCTGGTTTCATTGAATAATATGGTTCTTGTAAAATATTGCAAGAATAATATTCCTATCTAAATTTACCTGCAGTATATCAAATTTAAAAAAAAACTATAATAGGCCACATGAAACCAAAATACAAAATTATTTAGCAAAAATGTAAAGGCTATCATTTAACATTTGGAAAGTTTCTATATAAATCAAAATAACTACTGTATTTTAAAAACGGACATATACAATAACCAATGAATAATTCATTAAGATACAATTAATTTTGACGGTATACAAATAAACGCTCAGGGTGGTTTGAAGTCCAAAGCGTGATTATTTTGTTTGACAAGGGAATATTCTAAACATTGCCGGTAAAACTGATTGTTTATCTTTTAAAGAGCTGCCAGCAAAGAGACGTCTTATCTCTGATCAGAGAGTATCTCAAACATCACAAAAAGCCGGACAATTCTGTCAGGAGCTCGGTCTGCCAATCCCGCCTCGTCGCAAAATATTTCCCTCCTTTTGCCGGTGAAATCCCTCTTAACACCCCCAATATTCTAAACAAACATCCTACTATTTCCTGCATCAAGTTCCTGGTAGAAGATTATCACAATAAATAAAGTACAATCAGTGTAAAGTTGTCACAATATTTTAAACACTAAAAATCTACTTAAAAAACTGTAGAGATTATCCCACAAGCAATAAAATATCCCATTGATCCCCGCCCGAGGCACCGAACCGCGCAAGCGCTAATTTAGCAGTTTCGATCGATCGCGGTAGATGTCGCTGTCGTTTAGTTCGGTGCCACAAATAGTGTCCCCGGTGTAGCCACCGAGTACCGACCGCACTAACCTAACTACCGGCGAGCGGTACCGGTACCGAGTACCGACTTTTTACCCCTGGAAACAGAATGGTACTCGCGGCCAGATGACGATGAGCATAGACCAGAAGTTGATGTACGCTTTCCGGGGCTGGATCGCGTTCGTCGCTTTCATGGACCTAGGAGTTGCCTTTCGTTCGTTCATCGAAAAGCGGTGCTTCTTGGGCGAGTACGCTGAGACCAAGTCGGACCAGTTGATTGAACAGAGTAAGTAATATTAAGTCAAAGAGATTGAATATATAAATGTTTAGGTAGTTCATAAAATATTTTGTCATTAGCACTAATAACGGTTATACACGATTGATCACGTTTACAAAGGTTGTTGTTAGTCTGTACTTTACTGTTGGTTTTAAGCCGGATATTAGATGATTTTTGTGGCTATTGAAGGTTGTTTGTGTGTATGCCACTGCAGAAGCCCTAGAGAGATGTTTGTTTATGCGTGCGCCCAAACAACACCCCACACCCCATACCCCATCCATTGACATTGAGCTCACAATGCGCTACTATGATATTACCTCGCTGGATATTACAACCCCTTTACAATTTCATACTTTGTACTAAATATAGTGTAAATAAATTTATTAGTCCAATACCTTTCATCTCTACTCTGCAATGTGCTTTTTCCTTCAATTTTGTATTTGTACTCGACACTCGTGCAGAACACAACTTAATTCCTAATTTACAGTCAGGAATGCGAAGAATGTAATGATGTTTACTACTATCCCAAAATTGCTTTGTACGATTGAGTCGCTTACTTTAAACCAATGATTACAAAATGGATATACAAATCCTATAGGCATACTATAATATGTCAATACAAGCACAGAAAACATATAATACTATAACCAATATAACCATACACTATATATACTATTTATAGTGTATACATACACCATGATGGAAGGAAAAAACATACATACACTATATATACCAATATAACCATAAACATACTACTATAACCATACAGGTAATAGTAGTATGTTTTCTGTGATACGAGCTATGTCTGTTTGTCTGTCTGTCATCTGTCGTCTGTCTGTAATATATATTGTTACAAGTCAGGAGCCCCGCGCAACAATAGCCAGGCGCCGTCTCAAAAGGGTTGTTTGTTTACACGGGTTTCTCCTAGCGCACCACTGATAGACAATAGACCCATGTCAACGTACTACCTCAATAGGGGCCCTAGAACCTTCTACACTTCTACGGCGTAAACACCTTTGTCTAGGCTACCAGGGGTCTCCAGAATGTTCCACGGAAAACTTATATAAGGGACCGTCTTCCGGCACACGGCAGTTGAGTTGAGTTGAGCCTTCCGAGAATCGTCACGGCAAGCGCCCGTCGGTGTTAGTGACCAGTGCTAGTGCTAGTGGCAGTAACAGTGTAGATACAGTGTAGTGACACTAGTGACAGTGTAGTGACAGTGTTGTAACAGAAGTGGTGATAAATCCTGTAAAGGTTAGCTGTAAGTAGAATCTTTGTAAATTAGAATAGGCTTTAGCTAGGTTAGATAGGGTTAGTTAGGTGTTAGGTAATTGTAATTATTGTAAATACAGAATATTAGTGTAAATAAAATAGCTATTATAAAATCGCCAAGTTTTTATTGTAAAGAACCTGTTAAGCCCGCAACAATTGGTGTCAGAAAGCGGCATTATTTTGGCGATTTTAATTGTAAAGTATTGAGTTACATTTTAGTTGTATTAAACATTAGTAATTTGTATCACAAATTTGTTTAAAAAGTAATAGTTAATTAATTGCTTTTGTTAAAATTGCGTTGTCAAAAATATAAATAATTTATTGTAAAATTAGTTTAATTGTTTGGCATAAAAATGGCTTTCAAAGGTGTGAAACTTGATGAGTTAAAAGTAGTTGATCTTAGGAGAGAATTAGAAGAACGAGATCTAGATACTAGTGGAACTAAATCAGCCCTTCAGGCACGCCTTAAACAAGCTTTAATTGATGCAGGTGAAGACCTAGATAACATTTTATTTGAAACATCTGATTTTAATAAAATGCTTAAAAACTTAGAAGCAAATATTGAGTCAAAATTGTTAGAAAACAGCAAAGCGTTAGAGTCAAAAATGTCAGAAAATAGCAAAACATTAGAGTCAATGTCAGAAAATAGCAAAGCATTAGATTCAAAAATGTCAAACCTAGAAGCAAATATTGAGTCAAAAATATTAGAAAACAGTAAAGCATTAGAGTCAAAAATGTCAGAAAATAACAAAAACTTAGAAGCTAGCATTGAGTCAAAAATGTCGAATGTAGAATCAAAAATGCTGAACAAGTTAAATGAGTATTCTAGTAAAGTTGATGATTTAGAAAGTAGGATGAATGAAATGGATGAGAAATTTAATTGTATAGAAAAAAATCTAGAAGATAAGTTAGTTAAGCTTAGGCATGAAATGGCTGCGTCGGGGAGCTTCACACCTGCGTCATCGGCTAGCACTGGCGAACTTCAGCAGGATAACGCCCTAGATACGATCTCCAAGCCAGCGCCCACCATTGCTGTCGTTGCCCCTCAGAACATCGTTCCTCACTTCGATGGCAAAACTCCCTGGGAGGACTACATGCTTCTCTTCGAGACAGCGGCTATGGTCCATGGGTGGACCGAGGAGACAAAGGCTTCAGCACTGTGCCTTGCACTACGGGGCGATGCATTAGCTGTTCTGCATGCTATGCCAATGGCGGAGCGGAAGAATTTCCTAGAACTAGTGAGGAGATTGGAAATGCGCTTTGGGCATCAGTAGATATAATATACGGGTTTAAAGTCACTTGGGGCACGTTTTCCCATAAGAAATAACATGGGATCATTTTTTGGCCACTAAAACCAAAAATCCTGATCTTTTGCCTAAATATCCCTATAAAATTGTCACACCTTATTTCTTACTTATTCCCCATAAATATATTCGATATTAAGCTAAAAAAGCTATTTCTTATATTTATTGACCCTTACAAGTGTAAATGTAGAGTAGTGGCGAACTAGCAATATGACATCACTTTAGGCACGTTTTCCCCATAAGAATAACATGGTGAGCTTTTTTTGACCACTTTTTTAAAAATCCAGCTCTCGGCCTATACAAGCCTATATAAATGTTCAATACCATTGTACAACACTATTACTATTTCAAATCCATATCCATTCACATGTATATTCTCAAAATCATCAACTTGACAGTGCGAGGTTTGTACGCGAACTCATGCGTGCTCCCGGCTCATGGCGCGCTCCTGACCTATGGTCAGGCTTCTTGCTCCTGACTCATGGTCAGTCTTCTCGTCTCTAGTGGCAAATACTGATTAAGTCTTGAGTGGGTGACCTCCCGTTGAAGTAATTTCTAATTAAAAATTTTGAAATTTATGTAAAAACTTCTTAATTTTTAGTTAAAAAATTTGAAAATTTCACAATTCCTGGTTAAAAATTTTTGAAAATTTCACAATTTCTGGTTAAAATTTTTGAAATTTTCGGAAAATCTATAAATAGAGGTGACATCAGCCCAAGTCCTCATTCCTAAACATGAAGCCGTCATGTCAACACTGCTCCGTGTCGCTCTCCACCAAAAGTAACCTGATTCGCCACTACAAGGTAATTCATCAAATGAATGTGAAACTGTGCAAGGTTTGTGATTTAATCTGTGATAATAATGTGGCTTTAAAATCACATATATTACAAAGTCACAAGACTTGTAATTTTTGTAAGAAAAATGTTGTTGGCCATTTTAGAAGACATATCAATTCTTGCAACAATTGTCCATACACAATGATAAAATTTGTTGGTGAATCAATTAGAGCTGAACTTGAAAATGCTCTCAAGTCTTGTCCTCTGCCAATAAAATGGACTTTAGTTAGGAGAATTAAATTTATAAAATATTCAATGGATAAAAATGGAAAATTAGTTAATGAAAAAGAATGTATAGCGGATTTTAGAAGTCTTACTACCTTAATTATTGAGAAAAGAGATTTAAAGCCTCAAATTAAAAATTCACTTTTAAAGATTGATGCATCCATTCACAAATATCAAGCCCAAGGCAGTGGTTGGATATATGACCATACTAAGTATTGGCAGCTGCATGTTTACAAGTATAAACCCCTAACTCCAAAGTCATATATCCCCACACCAGAGAGTATTCAATCAAAACATGCAGTTCTAAATATAAGAAATTTTGACAATAAATGTTTCCTTTGGTCGATATTAGCAGCTTTATATCCAAGGAATTGTATCAATGAAAATGCTAATAGAGTCTCTAATTATGTACCCTATGAAAGTCAGTTAAATATGACAAATATAAAATATCCCGTAAAAATATCTGATATTGATAAATTTGAAACACAAAATAATATAAGTGTTAATGTATTTGGAGTTGAAGACCAGAAATGTGTATATCCATTAAGAACAACCAAACTGAATAGTAATACCCATGTAGATTTATTATTATTACAAGAAGGTCGTAAATCACATTATTGTTTAATTCGTGATTTTGATAAGTTAATGTTCCATTGTACAAAAGATAACAATAAGAAGCATTTTTGCAAGCTGTGTTTGCAACATTTTTACACCAATGATAAATTAGAACGTCATATAACATATTGTAAGAATTTTGATGCGCAAAGAGTGGAAATGTCTAAACAAGATATATTACAATTTAAAAATTATAAATATCAAATTAAAGCTCCATATGTAATTTATGCTGATTTTGAATGCTTTATAAACTCCAATATACATATTCCATCGGGTTTTGCATTTGTCGTAGTAAAAGATTCAAAAATTATTTCTGAAGAGTTGTACAGTGGTATAAATGTTATGGATGTGTTTTTCGAAAGGCTATTTGAGACTTATGATTATATTAAAAATCAAATGGCAATATACATTCCCCTAGTAATGACTCCTGAGCAAGAGGTATCTTTCCAAAACTCAACACACTGTCACATTTGTGAAAAGCTCCTATATTTTGATAGGGTGAGAGATCATTGCCATTCCTCTGGGCAATACCGTGGAGCTGCCCACAATGATTGTAATTTAAACTATAAAGTAACAAAGAAAATCCCAATATTCTTCCATAACTTGAAAAATTACGATGGACATTTAATAATGCAACACTTGGGAAAGTTTAATAAACATAAATTAAATTGTATAGCTAAAGATATGGAAAAATATATATCATTCTCTGTTGATGATTTGATATTTTTAGATTCCTATAACTTTCTGTCCCTTCCAT